ACTTTGAATGATATACTATATAAAAAGAATTATAACTATACCACTGTAGATATACAAAACATTTTTTATGCCATTCCGTCCACTCACTGCCAGACTTGTTCGGTCAATTCTGGACAATGCAACGTATGTTGCTAACATAACGTGCCAACAAAAGTACTTTAAGTTGTTGTTGTTGCTGCATTAAGTGTTTAAGAGGTCGCCTTCTGCCTAAGCAATTTCGGCTGACCTGTCCCTCTTTGGGACTCCTGTGTGTGAGTAGGGTACACCTATCTATTGTGAGTTTGGTATTCACATAATTTCTGTTTTTGTATTGATATGATTTCTATTTTCGTATTTTGATATCATTTCATTTTTATCCTTGGCTGCTCGGTTTATATACGTTCGAGTAGCTGTCCATCTCTCAGAAATAGAGTTAGTTTGGCCTTCGCTATTGCATCTCTTGGCTTTAGGAGGTCTATGAAAGATAGCGGATCTAACTGCAATTCTTGTTTTAACCTAGCCCGGGCTGGGGCATGGTCTTGACATTCTAGTAACACGTGAGCAATGGTTTCAGCTTGATTGCAAGATGAACAAACCTTGTCATAGTGCTTTTTGTGACCGAGTCTTAGGCGTGAGGCGCAATTTCAATATCCCCTTCATTTGAGCATGAATTTGGCTTTTGTTGGACCTTGGGTTGAATTTTGTATAGCCATCTGCCGATCTTACTTGCGTCCCACTGGGCTTGCCATCTTTCTGCTATGGAGGCTTTGATTTTGCTTTTATCCCTAGTTTACTAAAGGGAATAGGCTATAGATTTAAGCCATTCTATTCAGTTTAAATATTTAACATTTATCATGTGTACCACTGAGATTGTGACAACATAATTTTTCTTGTTTCTTGAAAACAATCACAAATGTTTCAGAAGACATTGTTGTGAAAACATATCACATATGTATTTAAACTCAAGTGTGTCATGTTCTCATTCCTGATTCTGAAGGTACCACATACAAATTACAATTTGTTTCACCTTCTTAGTTACATATGTGGCTTTATGATAGTAAAGGAGCTTGCATCAATAGGTTGCACATGGTATGCTACAAAATTACTTCGCGCCTTGTTGATCTGGATCAAAGTTATATTGTGCGTTAATCATAGCGATTACAATCATAGAACAGGCGGCGTTACATGTCTGACAATGGTAGCGTCGGTCATGTACATCTACCGCGAATATCCGGGGTAGAATAGGTCTTCAGCAACCCGTGCTTGCCGTAAAAAGGCGACTATGCTTGTCGTAAGAGGCGACTAACGGGATCAGGTGGTCAGGCTCGCTGACTTGGTTGATGCATGTCATCGATCCCAATTGCGTGAATTGATATCAAGATGTAAAACACTGGAATGTCTGGTCCAGACTCGATTATTTACAGACCTCCGTCATATAGCTGGAGTGCGCCGTTAAACAACAAACAACAACCAATGTCATTTTTTGAAGCAATCCGTGTTAAGCTGATACCTATGAAAGACATAAAGACTATGGCAGTGAGAGCGACGTTAGTATAATGTATCATATGAAAACATATTATCTGATGTAGCTACCAACAGAGAAGTCAGCATCTTGCTGAAACCTGACTGACCGTCTCCGCCAAGGAGCGGGAGACAGCGAACACATGGGTTGTGGAGTAAGGGAAGTAACTCTAGCTGACGTAGTAATCTGCGGCACGTTGTGCTGGGAACACGAGTCAGCGGAGCAGGTTCCAAGTTCGTATCACACGAACACGTGGTCTGATGATGTGTATTATTTGGAGATTGTACGTGTGCTTTCCGACTTACTTACTTACTTACTTACTTACTTACTATTGGAGATTTAACGTGCACTTTCCGACATTATGCGTATTTCACACGTATCGTAGATGGGCCCGCCTGGTATTTAGTGAGATTGCCAAGGAGGGTGTGTCCGAAAGGGGAGACAAGCTCTCACAGCCTATACAGCCTATACTCATCCCCTTCTCAGCTCTCACAGCCTATACTCATCCCCTTCTCAGCTCTACCAGCCTATACTCATCCCCTTCTCAGCTCTCACAGCCTATACTCATCCCCTTCTCAGCTCTAACGGAATATACTCATCCCCTTCTAAGCTCTCACAGCCTATACTCATCCCCTTCTCAGCTCTAGGAGCATATACACATCCCCTTCTCAGCTCTACCAGCCTATACTCATCCCCTTCTCAGCTCTAGGAGCATATACACATCCCCTTCTCAGTTTTAGCAAATAAAATTATTAGTTTAACGGACATTTCTTAGACAGAAGGCGACCACATAAAGCAACAACAACCTCATACGTGACAATTTTCTCGACTACAATTGATGTGGAAGTCTCGTTGGCTGAGCGGGTTAGATCGCTGACTTGGTGTTCTGGCGATAAGGTGCCTCACTCTGGCAATGTGGGTTCGAATCCCGGATGGGACTCAAACCAAAAAAGTACATGAATCTGTACTTTACTCAGCAAGTGTGATCCCAAAAATAACATTTGTTAGATGTGACCCCTCTCTGAATGGCACTCTCTATTCATGACGTAAAGTGTCCAGCTGTACTGTACTGTACTGTACTGTACTGTACTGCATCCCAAGGGGAAGACCTCATGCGTGTTGCCTTCTCCTGCTGTAACGTCCATACCCCCAGTCAAGTGAGTCGCCATGTCTTACCATGTTACAATCACATGGCGTCACATTCTCATGCAAAATGGCCGTTTCCTCAGCAACTGACAAACAACGCTTGATGTGAATATACAATGTTTTTACTTAATTTAAGAGCTCCCAAACTGGCAGACAAACAAGACCGTTGGCATTTTTGAAAATTTCATCCCGTAAATCCTGAAAACGTTCATTTGTCTTTAAACTTTACAAAAATACAAATATCAACAAATCAACAGGAAGACTTATTACCGTCAGTAGGTATAACAGTTTGTATCATATATTTAAACGCAGCACTATCATAGATGTTAATTGGAGGATGATCCCAACAGCCTTGTTGTGCGTCGGATGTACACATGCACGTTATGGGGTTATGGGGCCTTAGTACCATGTATATAGGAACATACACTCTCTTACTGTTGTTCCCCCAATAAAATACCCACACTCAAGAAGGCGAGAGAGGGAGGGGAGTGGCGCGGCGGGCGTGTAAAAGACCTGCGGACATTTAATTTAATACATTCACCCTTCTATCATCTTTCCGGGACAAGAGAGGTAACTGACTTTAAAAGTCCAGTTTTCACCCTTGCCGAACTAGGATGGGCTCGATCGTAGCGCCACCAATGGCTATTATGAGTTATGTCCCTTCTATGCCTCTCCTATGGACTGATCAGATTCCACCCCTCGTATAACCTGCTTTTGCTTCAAACAAAATGGCGGCTTACAGTCAATAATTTATTGTGATAAAACAGAATTTACATCGCGGAGTTCATCAAATCACGTGAGCACCTTGATTAAAAACATGAAAAGATTGGGAAAATATCTGTTGACAACGAGTTGGCGGTGCACATGCTTTGCAAACCCTGCAATCGACCGAAATCTGCATTTCAGTTAACCAAACGGATTTCGATTTCATTGCACGATTTTGATTGGACTATGCATAGACTCGTTTGTCCAGCCAAAATCTGACTCCATAATACCAGCCTAGTTCGGCAAGGGTGGAAACTAGACTTTTATAGTCAGTTTACTCTCTTGCCTAGGGAAGATGCCCTTCTATTCGACACCGATGCCTATAAATTCCAGCAATATGAGCACTCGCTGTCTGTAGAATGTTTGCAGTTGTTTGTATTTACTTTGCCATGTATACCAACCTGACACCTAGTGTGTGTCGACATGCTTGTTCTCTAGTCACTATAGCCCTGTTCAGCTATGGCTCCAGAAGCGAGACGGGTGCCCAGTCTCAGTTACCGGGTAGCTCAAGTACTTGGCTACTTTTTAACTGACACTCATTTTTAAAACTCAAAGTGTTATTTCAATTCCCTTTATCATTGGCGTGGACTCGTTTGGAAGAACAACACTGTTTTCTGTGTCTTAATTTTATTCCAAAAAAAAAATGCCGCAGATCCGTACACCAAGCAACAGGGAGCCTCGTCAGGCGTGAACCATTGAATGGCAATGTACTTCGTTTTTGTCTATTGATGATTTACATACCAGTATAAAGCACTGCAGAAAAATGAAAGTGTGACTATTTACTTATTTCCCGATGACAGGTCCGTGCTGAACTAGCTATGTATTCGTACGTACATCAGGGCGGTGAGGTAGCCTAGTGGTTACAGTGTTCGCATGTCAAGGGTTAGGCCTCGGTTAGCAATTGTTTACTGGGGACCTATTCTAATTGTTTTTAAATCAAGGGGCGGAAGCATAGCTTTCAATCTCACTAGATCAGATCCTAGTTCTAAAGATCTGAGGACATCACGTCAGGACGACTTTTCATCCGACCAATCAGAGCGTTGCTTAACGGATCAGGAAAGTGACAGTCGGAATGTGATTTCTAATAATGCAACCTCGCAAGGGATAACACGGGATATTCCGAACGACATTTAAGACCTGTACGACTGATTCCGTCAAGAGTATCGTCTATCTCTCGCTTCAATGGGATAAACATTTGAACGGAAGAGACGTTGCAAAGGACGTGAGAAGCACGGCCATACAATCCCGGCCATATATTAGATATTCCAGGGTGTTCTTTTGTAGAGTTTTCATAATCGAAAACTTTGTCAACATACTTTTCAAGCGTCTGAAAAGGAAGTAACCAGTTTGAAACTTGTGCCACGAATATAGAGAAAGCTGATTTCTAATTGACTGATGTCAACTTCTTGTTTGTAATATCATTGGTCGGTCAAAGTTCGCGAAAGGTCCTCCTGACGTGACCCGTAATGGGATGTCCTCAGATCTTTGTTTTGCGGTAGCGAGAAGTAAGATCTGATTTTAATGAGATTAGATAGCCTTGTGATTAAAGCGTTCGCTTGTCACAGCAAAGACTCGATTCCCCACATGAGTACATTGTGTGAAGTCCATTTCTGGTTTCGCGCGCCATGATATTGCTTGGATATTGATAAAAGCGATGTGAAACCATACTCACTCACTCACTCATGTACATCTAAGTGATTTCTAACAAAAATGCATTTCAGTATATTTCGTCATGTCTGTGTTGCCATCTGTGTAATCATTCACCTCAAGTTAATTATTCTAATATCCCCATTTTCCATTGTGACATACATGCGCCCTGCGTCCGTGACGGTAACACACCGTGGACGTTCAACTCCGTCGGCGCTTGAAGCCGCCTCCCGCAGAAACCGGCCATGTTCGTCAATGGTCAGGACACAATGTCGGTCGGTATCAGCCAGGTAAATGTTGCCCTCAATGTCGCAAGCAACACCTGCCGGGATTTTCAACATTCCCTCCCCACGAGGCTTGAAGCGCCATCTGGTGTGGCCGCTTTGATCTAAACACAAGAGTGACTGTTCTTGACAGTCTGACACAAGAATGTCACCAGAGGGCGTGACAGCCATGTACCACGGATCGGAGAACAAACTGTCACCGTAGTCGGTGGTGTCGATGGTCTTGATGACTCTTCCGCTGTGATCTATGATGTCGACGGAACATGGCGTTTGCCAGGTCGTGCTCACGGCAAGACAATCCTCATCAATCCCCGCAATCCCATAATAAGCTTTGTCAGTTTCAATGCTTTTGCTTACGCGAAGGTCCGGGGTGACTTCCGTTATGCATATTTTGTCTGACCAAGGCAAGGTCAAGGCCACCGTGCGGTCAGATACCAAGGCCACACAGAACGGGTTGGACTCAAGTGAAAGAGACGAGAACTCATCTCGTCCTCGTTGTCTGTACAGCGACTTGAGCGACTTGTTGTTGAAGTCGGCTACCACGACCACAGCTACATCATCAACATCAACAACAACGATGTCAACAATCAGAGGATCAAAGGACTCGCCTCTCACTTTGGACTTGATGACGTCATTGTCACGTGCACGTGACGGATGTATGGCAGTATTGGGTTCGACTAGGCGGGAACTTCTGTTCTGTACCGGTGTTGGTTCTGGGAGGAATAATAATCAATACCTGTTACTATTCATTTCGATTTGATTTACTTTTAAAGCACTTTACTTCACACAACAGGTTTTCAAATCTTTACAACTGATCTAGATGATTACTATCTTTTCATACGAAAGAAAGTTTCGGCTTAAACATCCAAAGAACAAATTTGAGAAACTTACGCACCTACTTGTTCAGATTCTTGAAGCTGCGAAACCCATGTCTGACGTGGCGTGTCAGGATTGGCTATGATGGTCAGCTTCCGGCAGATGGGACAGGGGAACCCCCTTAGCTTGTCTGTATTATCGAGGCTGTTGATATAGCGTTGAAGACACCGTGAACAGAGGGCATGCTGGCACTGTAGTGTTTTGGGCTGTTTAATCGAGTTTAAACATATCGGACAGTTGGTACTTTCGTCTCGTGAGTTTAACTGGTCCTCAGCTGAAAGAGTTCTAAAACAAAAACATCGTTTCAGTAAAGATAATTCCTGAAATAAAAAACACATTCTTGTGATATGAAGATGGTAAAAGATGTCACAGTCATCTGCTGTGTCATGAAGAGTTCTGTCTTGCATAAGACGGAGTAGTTATAGTCTGTTTCATTAATCTGGAATGGGACATCGGACATTCCGGTTGGTGGGTTGGTTTGTTGTTTAACGCCGCACTCAGCAATATTACAGCTATATGACTGCGGTCTGTAAATATTCGAGTCTGGACCAGACAATCCAGTGATTGACATCATTAGCATCGATCCACGCAAATGGGACCGATGACATGCATCAACCAAGTCAGCGAGCCTGACCACCCGATCACGTTAGTCGCCTCTTACGACAAGCATAGTTGCCTTTTACGGCAAGCATGGGTTGCTGAAGGCCTATTCTACCCCGGATCTTCACGGGTCTCGGGCATTCCGGAGATGCAAGTGATTCACTGAGCGAACACGCTCATTTCATCAAAGCTACAATACAACTACTGGAATATATACTACTCAAAACAATTTAAAGAACACCAACAAAAGCGAAGGCAGTGTTACAATAACCACCAGCCATGATTAACTATAGTCATATAAAAGAATCGGGTGTTCTTTCATTTCTTTTGAGCTGTGTGTATATATGTTAAATAACGCGGACCAAGCCAACTATTGATGAAGGAACAAAGGTGCTTGGCTCCGAATACCTCCAAAGTGAGGTGTTGTAACCCGCCGACCCCTATGCGTGCACTGTCACCTTGTCGATATCTGGCGTTCGATTAACTCGACAGTTTATCGGCTATATCAGTTTCCGTGATACATAGCATAAGTATTAATGCCTTTACGACGTGACTTGTTAGATATGGGGTATATTTTGACAATAACCTACACGTTTCACAACAATGCCTAAAACCAGCGAGCCATGTATTTCAGTTCAGTGTAATATTGGGTAAACGTTGTAATCGAGTCATCTAAGACATCAAAGTAACGCAGTAATGCCGCTGCTGTAACAACAATGTGTCGACCGCATTGGGGCGCCTATATCCCATGTAAGTATACAATTTCTTATCGACGTTATTCCGGTCGGGAGTCCATAAATACACCAAGCGAGGGCACACACTGCGACACACAAGAACTAACAAGGCAACGTATTGCAATGAACAGTGAGTTCTCCGCGCCATGTCTTTTGCAATAATTAATACACTATAATGGCCGACTTGTATGATTGAGGTCACTGACCCCACATGACGAGTATTAACCGGTATCGCCGGTGTGTACCGTAACTCACAGCATGTATTCAACGGAATCAACCAACAGATGAGAGCCTAAACAAACTCCCCCTTTATTGGTATTTATGGGGAGTTCAGATATTATAAAGATGTATCAATGATATAAACTGCCGGGCAAAAGAAATTATACAGAATGGCTAAAAATGAAACAAACAAGAAATGGTTTCCATGGTGATGTGCTTGAAGTGGGTATCACAGTTCTGTTTTGGACCTCAAGTTTGCACTGTTTCGGCAACTGATTTGAGCCTTGTAAGGTTACACAACGTTTATAATTTTGTGTTCAAATCTAATTTCAAATCAAATTTTCAAATCTACGTTCTTTTAACCAGCATTTTATACAGTAGGGTTACATGCGGTTACTCGCAACGTTAGGCTGCAAACAGTTTACACTGTCCTAGATATTTGCCATTAGAATACTTTCAATATGTTAAAGATTCCACAACGAGTATGTGAATGTATAGTCTGTTAAGATGAGGGTCTACGGGGTACCATATGTCAAGGTACCCCGACAGCGTGGAGAAACCAATAGTTAGTATGTCGTAGCATTAACTATTTACAGTCCGCCGCGATGAAGATTGAATATTGCAGACTGTGCGTAAAATAACACTCACTCACTCACTCAACCCATTATTTAGAATAAATTTCAAATCAACAGAAATATTTTATTGTAAGTCTTCATTCACACCCCTAGACGTAGTTCGTAAACCTGTACAATGACGACATCTACAGCCCAGACATCCTGTATTGGAGTCTTACCTTGACGATGTGCATCCCATTGTCTCACTTGTCAATCATTGTTCCTAGCCTACACACTGAAGTCCACCACCTCACAGACTCCACCAGGTGACAGTCCTCTCAGAGCATTGGCGTGGACCTGATACGCGGGGAACCCCAACCACTGCTCCAACGCAAGGTGATTTAAAAGATTCTCCGTTCAATAGAACCGCCCATATATTGTATGTTGACAAGACAGGATTATCCTCATATCCAAGTTCTACCAGCGTGGTCTCAAGTTACAGTTCAGTTCAGTCCAAAAAGCTATTATCGACACCAGCCTAGTGATATACTGCAGTGTTTCATAACTTGAACTGCTCTCCTCCAAACACAATTTATAACCCAGCAATAAATCCACGAGACGTTCTCTCTAAATCACAGCAGAATCGTTGCGTGCCATGCATGGACTCCCGTCCTGAAGTCGTATCGGGGTATCAGACACCCGTATGGTAGGTAGTCGGGTAGGTTACCTGGCCATTATACCTGAATAACGCTACAGGTGTACTACAACTGGGTTTAACTACGGCTTTGGCTTGATCAGATAGTGTATCCAGGTACCTCACGAAGACTCGCTGTACATATGGGGGTATCGAGACATTTGAGGTAACATTCCAACAACGGGTTACATCTGTATGAACAGAGAGGGGCGGGTTGCTCAATGATCTAATTATGTGTCCCTCTCAGGATCTGTTTATCGTGGGTTCGAATCCCGGTTTGCCCTGATTATGTTTCTAGTTTTGTCAGCTCGTGAGTTTCACCCTGTAAATATCTACACACTGAATCATTGCGGGCCTTCCTACAACATCAAGCTGACACGCCGTGATATATCTGAAATACTGCATCACTGCGGGCCTTCCTACAACATCAAGCTGACACGCCGTGATATAACTGAAATACTGCATCATTGCGGGCCTTCCTGCCACATCCAGCTGACACGCCGTGATGTTACTGAAATACTGCATCACTTCGGGCCTTCCTGCCACATCCAGCTGACACGCCGTGATGTAACTGAAATACTGCATCACTTCGGGCCTTCCTGCAACATCCAGCTGACACGCCGTGATGTTACTGAAATACTGCATCACTTCGGGCCTTCCTGCCACATCCAGCTGACACGCCGTGATGTAACTGAAATACTGCATCACTTCGGGCCTTCCTGCAACATCAAGAAGACACGCCGTGATATAAATGACATACTGCATCACTGCGGGCCTACCTACCACATCAAGCTGACACGCCATGATATAACTGAAATACTGCATCATTTTGGGCCTTCCTACCACATCAAGCTGACACGCCGTGATATAACTGAAATACTGCATCACTTCGGGCCTTCCTACCACATCAAGCTGACACGCCGTGATATAACTGTAATAGGACCCGACTCACTCACTCACTTGACGTCATCACGTATACATACACTGCCGGGCAAACGCAAGTATACACCCATGTTTGATGGTAGATAAACATTAAACAAACAAGAAATGGTTATTCGATTCGATGTATTTGGTACGGGTATCATAGTTTCGTTTTCGGACCCTAAGTTTTCTCACCTATGAACGATTTGATAACGTTTGTAATGTTTTGGTCATAAATGACCTATAGTGTCAGTATTGCGTGTTAAAATGCACGTTAAAATAGCCAGTGAATTCCTGGCTCAGAGTCCACTGTAACAGCGCAATCGTAATGGTTTAACAGATAAGCATGACTAGACGATGGTATTTCGTATTCCAGTTGCGTAAAACCACCTGAAAACACCTTGTACCACCTCGGTGCCGTATACACAAACTGTGAACACAAATTATTCCTAGGTTGTTTGTCCTTTTCCCTACTGTTTTTTCCGTGGATAGTATGAAGAGGAGCGCTTTGCATCGCACTCAGTAGCGATGTCGGATCGCGCGTCCTTCATGCATACGCATCTTAGATCTGAAGGAAAGTAAATTAATATTAATTTAATTCTTTATTAATCTTTAAACATATCCCTGATCGTGTAATCCCATTAGTTAGACAGCCAGTTGTTAGACACCTTAAAATAACAACTTTTCTGGTTGAGTGCACAACAAAGTGCAATGCTGTTACCTTGATTGATAATGGAATTACCCATAGCTAAACATCAAGATATAACAAAACAAAAAGACGTGTTAAGTCAGATGTACTTATTTTATAAACGTTCATCTCAGATTTGGCTGTTACATCAGATGTATATACACATATATTAAATTTAGTCATGATATGTACACAACGTCATACTCGGTTCATCCTGTTGTCAGACTAAGGTCTTTAGGCAAGTTTCAGGAGGGGGCCCACAGCATCTAAAAACTGAACTGGAGTCTTCTGACCCAGGCGTAGATGGTCTTTCAATCTGATGATCCGGTTGTCGATCTCGCGATCTCTGCGGCCAACTCGAAGTCTGTCTGTCTGAATTCTGTTTGGAGCAAGTGGTCTGTTCAGTCTCTGCTGCACTTCAGTCTTCAAGAGTCTGAACAGTCTGGCATAGGTGGCGGCTTGACGATCAGGTAACAGGGTGAAGACAAGTGGATAGGATGTAGAGCCAGCTCGAGCATGAAGGATATACACTTGATCCCACAGGTCTGGGCAAGAGGTGAAGGTGCCATCCATCTACACCATGTCCGCAGTCTGCAAGGCTTGTAGTTGTTCCGGGGTAGAGAAGGCTAGGAAGAAATAAGTAGAGAAAGATCAAACAATGAACCTTGAGACATGCCTAATTAGTTCACTGAGTGGGACTGTACCAACAATCTTGTTTAATCCGGTATGCACCTGTTCTTTAGCGGTTCATATGCTTGTTGTCTGAGACGACTGAATGGTTGATTGGGGACATGCAAGGCCGCCAGTGAAAATCAGTTTCAGCTGCTGTCTGGATAATTGTACACTTTCCCAAATATTCCTTCAATATTTTCTTTTTATTCCTTACAAATTACAAATACAATTTAACCTCATCATTCTGTCCATCCCACTACTAGGGCTGGGACGGGTAACTCGGATACTCGGATGGGTCCTGAGTAAGATCCACCGACAGGACTACCCGAACCCATGGTTAGTCATGTGATATATTGTTAAATGACAAAAACTCACTATAGCTCAGTTACACTTCAAGTCCCTAATGTTCGCATTTCTTTCTGACAACGCACACACATTCAATTTCCTTTTGACTCACATATGTTTGAGTAAAGATAAAACTTCAGTAAACTTCCGTGTACGCTTGATCTGATCGTTTGATACATGTATCTAAATTGTTTTGGCCAGGGCTGCGGTAAAACAATTCCCAATCAGACATTTGGATCCCAACTCTTGAGACCTGCAGTGGGTACTCGGGTAGGGTCGGATAATAGGGGGTCGGGTACCCGGGTAGTAAATTTGGACTCGTCCCAGCCCTACCAACGATCAAGGATGTTGGGTGTATTTTACAGAACGTGCGACCTTTTAAGGTTTCAGGGGAGGCTACTCTAGCGACCTTCTTTCGTCTCGTGAATATTAGACTAACATTTAGTCTCTGAAATCTTATATTACACAACATCCTTCTTGACTCTAAAATAATTCCCTATGCTGATTTCATAGACTGTGGAATAGAGCTAGCTAGAGCCGGCTAGACTTGCTTTTGTATGCGTTTCTAGATTATTATTTTTCACAAAATAAATATATTCCAGTCATGGTGCAGGACTACGTGAATATGTACCGCTTTTAAAATCGTTTTTACATTTCTTTTCTGTTTTATTTTCTGCTTTCTTATTGAAAGGGTATCATCTATTTTTCTAAACGAAATTGTGTATGCTTGATGTTTCATCCATGCCATTAATCAGAGGATCTGTCATTTCATCAGCGTAATTGTGTACCATGTCATAATACATTTTAAACAAGGTCAATTCCTTTGATGCAGTAAATCTACATGTATTTATGGAGACGAAATAGGAGAAGAAAATATCACATCTGTCCATGACAAGGCCATAAAACATAAGATAAAATATTACATCCGGCCCGATTACCGATGATGCCAACGTCAGACCATACAAATGCAGAGGTAGAAGCGGGGTATTAATACCGTTATTATACAATGAGAATAACATAGTGTATCAGCACATATACAATAATACTAACACTACATGAAGGATATTTACCTCTGTTAAACATTTTAGTAACTAAGGGCTTTACAAATTTAGCATTACCCAATACCAGTGCGGGGGGCACGGGTGGCCCAGTCGTCTAAGGTGCCGCAATTCGCTGTGCAGAGTTGCGTTCCTTGGGCACGCAAGAAACCTATGATTGTGGGTTCGAATCACGGTTCGCCCCGATTATGTTTCTAGTTTTATCAGCACCATACCCGTGCTCGTGGGTTTCACCGAAGTGGTAAACGTCTGAGACCTGCATCACTTCGGGTTTTCCTCTCACATTAAGCTGACACGCCGTGATATAACCGTAATACTGTTAAAAGCGGCGTTAAGCCCAACTCACTCACTCAATACCAGTGCGGCCTGAATTAATTAAACAACCGATAAAAAACTGAACTTCCTGTTCAGTAGGGTAACTGTCATAACAAAATCTATTCTCTCTGTGTTTTGTTTGTTTTTGTTTTTGTTTGTTTGTTTGTTTGATTGTGTTGGGGGAAATAAACTCGTTTCTATTGCCAAAGACAGGGGCGGTGGGGTAGTCTTGTGGTTAAAGCGTTGGCTCGTCACGCCGAAGAGCCGGGTTCGATTCTCCACATGGGTACAATGTGTGAAGCCCATTTTTCGGTGTCCCCCTGTCGTGATTTTGCTGGAATATAAAAGCGGCGTAAAACCAAACTCACTAATTCCATATGCAACGTACCACACTGTAACTTACTAGGTGTACTACGGTATGATCTCGGTAAGATTTCAGTAACAGATTTCTTAAACTGTCTATAGGTTTGTGATTGTCAACATCATTTGATGTGATGCGCAGATGGTCCTTCTTTCTGGTCCAAGTTGCCCTCAGCTATACCACCACCACCATCACCATCACCTTTAGCCTCGTGATAACTAGCGGTAGAGTAGCTGTGTGTTTCACTGAAGCGAACCCGCGACAATGCACGTACGAGCTCGAACGTAATTTTCAAGAATGGCGACGTATTGTGGACATAACTTTCCTTTTTTAGGACAACTGCCCCAACCGTATTACACCGAAATATTCTTGATGTACCGATAGCTTTAAAAAGGGAAGTTTTAAACTGGATAAATATCTGACATGAATTTGATTCATTTAAAGGATTAAGCCGAATAGCAAATGACCACTTCATTGTGGGCGTCACCTACACGTCTTCTGCTCACCCTTTGCAAGACTTCACGTTGTAATGGTATGACTACTGATTAGTGGTGGCACGTGGTCCTGTGCACAGCGTGCAGGTCATAAATAAGGGGAAGGTAAGTGACGTCGGTCCCG